AGGCACCGGTGCGGGGGACAGGGGTGAGGAGGGGAGGGCATGCTGTAGGGGGACAGGAATTCTAATGGTTTACAAGGCCTCCCAGAACACAAGCTCACAAGGTCACAGGAGGACCTTCGAGAGACAACGGCTTATTGCCTTTGTGAGAAAATATGAGAATAAGCGGGAGTATCCTTCGTTCCTTTACAGAATGTGTGAGATGGAAGGGATCTCAGATTTCATCAGTTTTGGTCTGGATCTGTGATTTCAGCAGGATAGGTGGCCCAGTGGATAGAGTGCTGGGCCTGGAATCAGGAAGACTCATCTTTCTGGGTTCAAATATGGCCTCAAACACTTACTAGCTGGGTGACCTTGGGCAAGTCACTTAACCCTATTTGCCTCAGTTTCCTCATCTGTAAAGTAAGCTGGAGAAGAAAATGGCAAACCACTCCAGCATCTTTGTCAAGAAAATCCCAAATGGGGTCACAAAGGTTCTAACACGACTGAACAACAGTGGAGACAGAAACTCACTTGCACCCATGCAGAGCTGCAAACTGTGTAACCCGCCCTATACCTCCTAGTCACTACCCCTAGTTCAAGGCCTCTTCATTTGCCTGGAGTCTTGCAATAAACAGGCTTCTGATTGGTCATTACCTCAAGTGTCTCCTCACTCCAATTTATCCTTCATAGGATAACTAGCAAAATGATCTTCCTAAAGCATAAATCTTTTCATGTCGCTCATCCCATTTTAGCAGCAGCTCCGTATTACCTCCAGGATTAAATATAAAATCTTCTTTTGATATTTTAAGCTCTTTACAACCAGGCCACTTTCTACCTCTTTTCTTATACTTTACTCTCTTCCATACACTCTATGATCCAGCTACTCCGGGCCTACTTGCATTTTCTCAAACATGACACTCCATCTCCTGTCTCCCTGCCTTTTTGTGGCTGTTCCTCCATGGCAGGGTGCTTTCCTTCCCCACCACTGCCTCGGTTTTCCTTGCTTTTTTAAAGATTCAGCTCAAATTGCATATTCTGTAAAAGGCCTTTCCCAGTACCTCCAACTGCTAATGCTCCTCCCTCTGAGATTACCAACCAATCGCTCTGTGTATATCTTGTACATACCCAGTTATTTACATATGCCCACCAGAGAAGTATTTTCATTTGAATTGCTGAGGGGACCACAGAGCAGAATGTTTCTGGAAGATCAGCCTTGTGTGTCTTCCTGGAAGGCAAGGACTGTTTCTGCATTTCTTCATATCCGCAGTGCTTTATTCAGTGCTTGGAACATAATCGATGCTTAATAAATGCTTTTTGACTGATAGGAAATTTGGAGAGAGCAGTTTCTTTCAGTTGAGTGATCAGATTGGAAGCCAGATTGCAAAAGGTTGAGAAATGAGTATGAGAAGGGGAAATGGAGGCAATGAGTATAGATAGTTTTTTTAAAAGTTTTGGTTGAGAAAGAGAGGAGAGTTACAAGACTGATGTTAGTTATGTTAGACTGATGTTAGTTAGATAAGAGTTACAAGGAGATAGAAGGCTTTTTTAAGGATGGGAGAGACTTGGGCACATTTGTAGACAGCAGGGAAAGATCCAGTAGAGAGGGAGAATTGAAAATTTAAGAGAGTTAGTATGATATTGTATGTGTGTGGGGGGGCGGTGTGTGTGTGCATGCGAGCATGGGCAATCTGTTGGAGAGAACAGGAAATGTGATGGAGGGCACACAAAGTGGGGTTTATTTTGGTAAGGAGGAGTATTACCCTCTTATCAGAGACTGGAATGAAGAGGAGAGAATAAGGGATAATGTCATAGGACTGAGAGATGAAGGGGAGAAGAGGGACATCTAGTGAATGACTTCTACTTTCTTTTTTTTTTTAATTTTCTTTTTATTATCAGTTCTACATTTTTGCCCTCTCTCCACCCCCTCCTCTACCCATTGAGAAGGCAAGAAATATGATGCCCATTATACATATACAGTCATACAAAATATATTTCCACATTAGCCATATCCTGAAAAAAAAAGCAAGAAAAATAAAGGAAAAAAATATGCTTCAGTGTGCACTCTGAGTCCATCAGTTCTCTATCTGGAGGTGGATAACATTTTAAATCATGAGTCCTTTGGAGTTATGGTGGCTCATTGTAATGATCAGAGTTACAAAGTCTTTCACAGTTGATCATCTTTGCACTATTGCTAAGACTATGTAGGATATTTTGCAGATTCTGCTCACTTCACTTTGCAACAGTTCATATAGGTCTTCCCAGGTGTTTTCTGAAATCATTCCCTTCATCATTTCTTACAACACAATAGTATTCCATCACATTCATATACCATGGCTTGGTCAGCCATTTCTCAATTGATGGGCATCCCCTCAGATTCCAATTCTTTGGCAACACTAAAAGGGTTGCTATTGTTCATACAGGTCTTTTTCTTTTTTATTTGATCTCCTTGAGGTAAATACCTAGTAGTGGTGTTGCTGGGTTAAAGGATATGCACAGTTTATAGCCCTTTGGACATATTGTTCTCCAGAATGGTTGGACTAGTTCACCATTCCACCAACAGTGCATTAGTGAATCTATTTTCCTACATTCCCTCCAGCTTTTGTCATTTTCCTTTTCTGTCATCTTAGCCAATCTGAGCATGAGGTAGTACCTCAGAGTTGTTTTAATTTGCATTTCTCTAATTATTAGTGATTTAGAGCATTTTTAAAACACGGCTATTGCTAGCTTTGATTTCTTCTTCTGAAAACTGTATGTTCATATCCTTTGACCAGTTATCATTTGGGGAATGGCTCCTATTTTCATACACATGACTCAGCTCTCTACATATTTGAGAATTGAGACTTTTATCAGTATAACACTGCAAAAATTTCCCCTAGTTTTTAATTTTATTCTAATTTCAGCCGCATTAGTTTTGTTTTGTACAAAAACTTTTATAAAAAAAGTTTTATAATCAAAATGATCTATTTTACCTCCTGTGAACCTCTCTGTCTCTTTCTTGGTCATGAACTCTTCTGACAGGTAGTTTCTTTCATGCTCCCCTAATTCACTTATAATATCACCCTTTATATCGATGCCTAGTTTTTGCCAGACTACTTTCCAGTTTTCCCAGCAGTGTTTGTCAAATATCGAGTCTCTATTTTCTCAGTAAAGTATGAAGCAAGGACCTCAGCTGTAGGAGTGTGGGAAGCTTGAGGAGAGAAGAGAAGGTTTAGAACAGATGCTGTAGAGACTGGATTGGAGAATCAAGTATGGAGGAATACAAGGTTTTATTTCTGTGCTCTCCATTTACTTCCACTGGTGAGCTTCTCTCAGGCATCTTTTACGCTGTACTTTTGGATGAAATAACATGCAGCTAGATGATAGAACATTTTGATGGACTAAGTCCTGGTTGAATGGCCAGACCCAAATAACTAATGGACTGATGTCAGCTTCTAGGATAGTTTCCAGTGGAATACCCCAGGGATCGATGCCTTGTACCGGCCGCGCCGACTTTATGCCGGCCGCGCCGACTTTATGCCGGCCGCGCCGAACACTCCTCCTATAAGGAGCAGGCTGCCAGAGTCATACTCACTCATCAGTCTTCGGTCCTCAACCGGATAAACACACAGAGACGAGCCATCGGGAGGCGCCAACACCAGAGCTTTATTCAGAGGCCATCACAGCAAGCCATCAGAGCAGGAGCAAAGAGAGCTCGAGATCTGACCACGCTCGTTCCTTAAGTACCTACTTAGCCCCTCCTCCCCAGCCCGCTTACTAGCCAATGATTGTAGGGTCAGATACCGGAAGGCGCTGTCTGAGTTTAGCACACCAAGGGAGAGGGAGTGACGTAGGAGGCTAGGACCGGATACAGGAAGGAGGCATCTGGGATTAGCGCATAGACAGAGTACGTGACCTAGGAAGTCAGGAAGGACACAGGAAGGAGGCGTCTGGGGTCAGTGCTACACAAAGGGACCCAGGAAGTCAGGAAGGTCACAGGAAGGAGGCATCTGGGGTTGACGTTGCATATAGGGAGGGGACTAAGCAAAGGGAACTCGTCCTCTGCCGTCCCACTCCCACGTGGCACCGCCCCTTGCCTCTGGAGCACAAGCTCCGGCTACTTCCTTGCACCCAGCTTATCTCACATAGCACTGCCCACTGCTTCAGGGCTTCTCTGTACCCAGCCCATCCCAGTTCACCACGACTCTGCCTACCACAGCCCCTGCCTCGACTTCCAAATACCCAGATTCTACCCCAATCTTGCCACAACGCCCACCTGGTAGCTGCCAACATAGACAGTCCCTCACAATGCCTGGCCTTCTGCTCTTCAGTGTGTTGGGTTTTGTTTTTTTTTTTCCTTTTTTCAGTGACTTGGATAAAGGGATAGATGATATAGTTATCAATTCTGCAGATGACACAAAGTGGAGAGGTACAGCAAACATTTTGGACAGATTTCCAAAGAGATCTAGGCAGATTTCCAAGAGATCTAAATTACAATTACAGAATTTAGAGCCAGAAGGGACTTTAGAGAAAATTTGTTAAGCCCACAAGCTCCCATTATCTTTCAGATGAGGAAATTAAGGCCCCAGAGAGTGGAAGGGACTTCTATGAGATTATACAGGTAATAAGGAGCAAAGATACACAGATCACCTAATCTAATGTTCTAGGCTTTGCTGGGTTCCAGACTAAAAATGAAATGTTCCCTAAGGCCTCAGAACCCTTGTCAGGCATTGTTAACCCGTATTGAGAAGTATTAGCCAAAACAAGCTAAACGGACTTTGGTTTGCATTCTGAGGCATGGTGTACAAAACAAGGGAAGTAATAGTTCTTTCTCTGCCTTCATCAGATCACGTTTAGCACCCTAGTGTTAAGGGATAGCATTTACATAGTTCTCAATTTTACAAAGTGTCCTATGTGTGTTATTTCATTTGATCCTCACAACAACCCTGGGAGGTAGGTGCTATTATTATTTTACAGATGAGGAAACTGGGGCTGAGGGAGGTCAAGGGATTTGCTCAGGGTCACACAGCTAGTAAGTGTCTGAGGCTGGATTTGAACTTAGGTCTTCCTGAGTCTCTATCCATTGCATCACCTAGTCTGGACACCACCTTTTTAAGGAAGGACACTGGCAAGCTAGAGCGTGTCTTGAGGAGGACATTCAGAAGATGAAAAGCCTTGAGACCATGCCACAGGAGGACTTGTTGATGGGTCTGGGGATGTTTAGTCTGAAGAGAAGGGGGGGAGGGGCACCTGAGAGCCGTCAAAGACTCAATTGGAAGAGGAATTAGACTTGCTGCTTGGCTTCAGAAGCAGAACTAGGAGAAAATGGGTGGGAATTTGCCCAGGAAATTTTGGGTTCCATGTAAAGAAAAACTTTCCAACAGTGAAAACTGTCCCTAAGTGGAACGGGGCAGTTCAGTGAGTACTGAGTTCCCCATCCATCACTGATGATTTTGAGTGGAGGCAGGACAAGTCCATGTCAGGGCACTGCAGAAAGCAATCTGGGTCAGGCTCCCAGAGTATAAGGGCACAGAAGTCTTCTCCTCTAACTCCCTATACTCTATCTAGTTTCCCCTGGAAGACCTCCACGTGGGGGCTGCTTGTAAATCTTATACACAAAACTTTCATAAACATTTCTTTTGGGTGGGTGGGAGCCACCATAGAGCACTGCAGGAATGGGTCAGTCAGCTAGCATTTATTAAGCACCTACTACAAGCCAGGCACCGTGCTAAGAGCTAGGAATACAAAGAGAGGCAAAAGACAGTCTCCGCTCTCAAGGAGCTCCATTCTCACGGGGGCAACAAGCTAACAACTACATCCAAACAAGCTGTAGATGGGATAAACTGGGGATGATCTCACAGGGAAGGCACTGAGATATTAAGGAAGACTGGGAAAGACTTGTTATTTTGGTAGACGTGATTTTAGCTGAGACTCGAAGGAATGAAGGAGGAGAGCATGAGCGAGGGGATTCCAGGCTTGGGGTGAGAAATTCAGGGGTCAGGAGAGTCGCGTGCGAGGAGCAGCCCGGAGAACAACGTCACCGGGACAGTCGAGGACGCAGAGCTGAGTAAGCACAAGACAGGAAAGGGAGAGCAGGAAGGGAGGGGCCAGGCTGTGAAGAGCTTTAAAAGCCAGAGGGGCGGCTGTGCCTTTGATAACTCCCTGGAGGTAACAGGGAGCCACTGGGGTAGGGGGGAGGGAGATTCTTGTCAATCCCGGGGTTCGTGGCCCCTAGAGGCCTTAGGGAAAGCACCCTCGACAGGAGTCACGGGCGGAGCCGCTCACAGTTGCAGCTGGAGAAAGTGGAGTAGAGCGGAAAAGGACGGGATCGCTCCAGCGGCCCGGGCCCTTTAAGATCTGGGGAGGGGCGAGACCCGCTCTTCTCCGCCCCGTCCCCCGTCCCCAGGTTGCACCAGGAAGCACTTCCCGCCTCGCCGTTCCCGGGATCCTGCAGCGGAGCCCCCCGTTAGGTTCCCTTCCCGCCCGCTCGCGCCTGCGCCCTAAGCACCTCTGGCCTCCGAGCTGGCCTGGACTGGGCTCTCCACGTGCAGAATCTCCGGACTGCTCCGCGGCCAGGAGGGAGGGAGCAAGGGGCCTCCCCACGTGACCGAGCGCGGGCGCTCCCGCCTCCTAGTCCTTTTAAAACTTGGCCTCCGCTCCATCGTCCTCCTCCGCCGCTGCCTCTGCCCGGGTGCTGGGAGGTTGGAAGCGAGAAGGCCCCCCCGGAGTGGGGAAGCACCAGGCAGTGCATAGAGCCGCAGCAGGGACTGGCTCTGTGGGCAAGTCATTCCCCTTCTCTGAGCCTCGGTTTCCCCATCTGTTAAATGCGGGGATTGGAAAGAGACTCTTCTCTTAGGGGCCCAGGGTTCTTTGCTTCCCCAGGGCCCCTATGAAGAGGGTGGGTGGGAAGGGAACATTTACTGAGCACCTACTACGTGTCAGGCACTGTGCTAAGCACTTTGCAAATATCTCATTTGATCCTCATAACCCAGGGAGGTGCTATTATCCCCATTTTACAGTTTGAGGAAACTAAGGCAGCCATTGTGACTTGCCCACGGTCGCATAGCTGAGGCTCCCCCTTAGTACCGGGGACAGCTGCTGGAGGGCAGGGTGAGGTTAAGTGGCTGATTCTGTTCTTGTCTTCCCAGCAGACAGGCGCGGCTGAGAACAGGTGAGCAGAGGGCTCCCGGCTATGGCCACCCCAGTGCCTTTGGTCTGCAGCCAGACTGTGAGCAGGTGAGAAGCAGGGGGCCCTGGGCCAGCTTAGGGTTCTAGGACTCCGAGCCTATGCACGAGCTCCACCCCCATCACCTACCTCCCACCCCTCCTGGTGTCTCCACAGGGTGAGCTCTGTGCTCAACCGGGATGTGAAGCAGTTTGGAAAGAAGAATCTGTTTGATGAGCAGGACGAGACCTGTTGGAATTCTGACCAGGTGACGTGGCGTTGGTTAGAGCCAGAAATCACTTACGGGGTCCCCAGAAATCAGACATCTGTAGAAGAATCCTTAGACCATCGACTGTTGTTTTTAGTGCTGGATTCTGAGTCAGAGGACCTGGGATCAAATCCCAGCTCTGCCACTCATTGGCTGTGTGACCGTGGACAAGTCACAGTCTTTCTGGCCTTCTGTTTCCTCACCTATAACATGTGGGAATTGGATTGGATGACCTTCAAGGACTCTTCCAGCTCTGATCCACCCTCTCACTCTTTTAACACAAAGGTGCAGTTTTCTCTCTTCACACTCAGTATTGTGACTTCCATTTTACTGGTAAATTAAAGCTCATCCTGGGTCCTTTCCGTAGGATGTTCTGAGACCCCATGCTCCACAGCTCTCAAGAACAGGTCAGCTCAGGAACTTTGTGTAGGTTTGGGTCCCTCTGCTGCAAACCACACCTCGTGGTAGGGTGTCGGTCATTTACTTGGGTCTAACCCGATTCTCTTTGGCTGTTTGACCTCAGGGCTCCTCCCAGTGGGTGATGCTGGAATTCCCACAGCCTGTCCGAGTGTCTCAGGTGCAGATCCAATTCCAGGGTGGGTTTGCAAGTCGCCAGGGCCGTTTGGAAGGTGACAAGGGGTCAAGGAGGGGGGAAAAGGGAGGGAAAGGAAGGTGGTCTGGCTTTTGCCCTCATGGGTAGGGCCCTACAGCTGAATCTGTGGGACTGAGCCCTTTCTCTTTCTCCTTCTTTACAACAGGTGGCAGGAAGAGTGAGTCTCTGGAGAAGATTGGGGATTTCTACCCTCAAGACAACAACTCCCTGCAGATATCCTCTCTGTTCTGTGGCAAGGGTGGGGCTCATGGGCTTGAGGCTAAGTCAGGCAGACCCAGGGACGTGGAGGTGCCACAAGAAGCCTCAGTGGGAGTTGGGGAGAAAAGACAAGTTTATCGATATGTGAATTGAGGGAGCCTCCAGGGAGTGACTTCACCCTCCCTGCCGAGGATGTTTAGTACATTGAAGCTGATCCAGGGTGACACAGGGTGTGGGTGGGACCGCCCAGGTCTGTCCTGTTAACCTTGACAGCTCTTCATTACAGCTTTCCTGTGGCAGACGTCACACTGGACAAGCTCAAGGTAACTTTTGAAAACAGCACTGACTTTTTTGGCCGGATCATCATCTACCACCTGCGGATTCTTGGGGAGAAGCTGTGAGCAGCTTCAGTTCATTGGCCCACCCTGCTTCCTAGACCAGGCAGGACACCCTAGGAGAGGCCACTAGAAGGACAGAGCAGAAGCTGCCCCTGGCTGTGGGCTAGGTGGCCAGGAAGTAGAAAGAGTTCTGGTTTGGGTGAACCAGCTCCCAGCCTGTCTTCTCCCTCCAAGGACCTGGGAAGAGAATCCCAGAAGGAAAGAGCCTCAGAGGTTTGGTTTAAATCCTCACAGGAAGCCAGGCTTGATTAGAAAACAAAAACATTGTCAAGACAACTTTGAAAGACTTAAGAATTCTGAGGGTGGAGTATGCTATTGGCCTCCTGATGGAGAGGTGAGAGATTCGGGATGCAAAAGCTTTTTTTGGCCTAGACACTGTGGGGAATTTGTTTTGCCTGACTCTGCGTATTTGTTACAGGCATCCCCCCACCCCCAAAGGGGTTTGGGAGAAAGTAAATGCTTGTCGATTTAAAAAGGAAAAAAAAAAACCACACTCCTAACTCATGATCACTTGGCCTGTTTAAACAGCCTCACCAGTTTCATTGTTAGATAGCCCTGACTCTTGGAAAGTTCTTCCATATGTCATGGAAATCCACCTCCCTTCATTCCCATCTCCCAGAACAAAAGAGTAAGACTTTCCAGGAAGGTGTCTTAGATTTGAGTAGAGTAGCTGTTTATCCTCTTTTCCAGGCTAAAATCACCCTATTTCTTTATAGCCAGTCTTCCCTAGGATGTGGTTTTAAATTTTCTCACCCCTGCAGTTGTTGTAAGAGATGGGGAGCAACAGTCTATGTTCGCCCTGGTTGTTGGGGTAGCAGCTGGTTTTTATTGGTTATTGTTCCCATTTCTTGGGCTAGAGGAGGCATGATTGGTGTGGGGGTGGCAGAGGAGCCAGCATGGCCGGATAGAGTGGGCTGGGGAGCTACGTTTCCAGCCAGGGCAAGTCATTAGCCAGTAGCACAGTCCCTCCCGTGGTCCTGGGAAGGAGAGGAGCTGCCTTGTTTCCGTTCGGGGTCTGCCTGCTGTGTCACACTGGACATGATCATTGGGCACTGAGTTCTTGGGTAGTCCCCCCCCAAAGCTCTGTAGGTGGCCTTCAGCCATAGGAAGAGGGACACCTCCTCTTGGACCTGTTCTCCCTGGCCATGGGTATTGAAGAACTGGCTTCTTAGTGAGCTGGCCTTCCTGAGCACCAGATGGAAGGCAGAGGACCAAAGCCCAGTGTCCTAGGCCCCCTTCACTCTGTCTCTGGAAGCAGCTTGTTCTGAAAAAGCTTAAGGATATGGTTCTCCATCACCTGTTGGACTGAAGCCCAGAAAAAAGGGAGTGAGAGATAAGAAAACTCAGGACCTACGGCCCCCTCTGCCAACACAAGGAGGCAATATTGGGGAATATCAAGCGCCAGGGGCTCGGAACTGGCACACCTTAGTGTCCTGGCTCTGACACAAGCCAGCAGGGCACCACCATTCTGAGGCTCAGTTTCCTCATCTGTATAATGGGGATGATAAAGTAGATGGCTCATAGGTGGTAAGGAAAGTGCTTGCTGTTGACCAAGACGACAGGGGAGCACACAGATCTTTCAGGGGAGTGGATGCAGATGGGAGAAGAGGTCTATCACTCCAAGGAGAGGCCGCCTGGCAAGGCAGGGACAAGGCTGGGCCTTGATGGAGCCTTGGTGTTGGTTAGAATGCCTGGGGTACTTAAGGGGCGCCCTGCCCCATAACTTCAATTTCTTAAGGATTTTAGGGCTTGGAAAAGTGCTCTCTTGGTGGCAATCCTGTGGGGTGGGGTTAGTGTAGGTAACAGGATCCCCATTTTACACAGGTGAGGAAAAAGATGAGGGTCAGAATTAGGGGCTGATTCAGAATCAAGGGGAAGGCACTTGTTTGGGGCCCCAGAGTCAGGAAGCGTGGGACTGGAACCCTTCCCTATGGTGTATTATCAAGGGCAGGGTCCAGGGGCTCCAGGGCTCAGTCACAGATTTGGAACTAGACCTTGGTATTAAAGATAAGGAAACAAACATCCAGAGAAGTTCAGATACTTGTCCAGGGTCACACAGCAAGTTCACATCTGAGACAGGATTCAAACCCAGGTCATCTTGCCTCTAACCACTACATCAAGGGTGGGGATCCTGCGGTCTCAAGGCCACATGTGGGCCGAACTTGAGGACCTAGAGGGCCACACGTGGCCTCAAGACTGAAGGTTCCCCACCCCTGCACTACGCTATACACTGCCTCTTACTAGCTCCGATTGGGGGCAGACCTCGGAAGTGTCTGTGAGCCTCAGTTTCCTCATCTGCAAAACAGGAATAATACTAGCAGTACCTGCCTTGAAGGCTGGTTGTGAGCAAAGTGCTCTACAAAACTTAAAAGGAAAAGAGTTATTATTGTCCCCCTGGTCCCTGGGGACTCTAAGGGGGCAGATCGAGAGGGGGTACTCCCCCCCAACAAATTTTTGTATATAGTTTGTTTTTACTTATTTGTGTATTTTCCACCCAGTAGATTGTGAGCTCCTGGAGGGTAGGGACTTTTGTTTGTCTCTGTATCCCCAGCACACAACTCAAGGCTTGGCACATAGTAGGTGCTGAATAAAGAAATGCTTGCTGAACTGGAATGAATCTGTTTGGGGGTGGGGTAGATTCCAGATATCACTGACAGCCTTCTCATCCAGGGGTGCTTCTGATGCCTCCCTCTTACACACTGAGAATGTTCCTTGCCCTGAAATATACATACCCTTCTTGTGTCCCAAGGCCACAGCCAGGTCCATTGGGGTGTAGCCTGAATCCGCTTCTGTTGTCAGGTCTGCCCCTCTGGCTGAAAACCAAAGTAGAAAAGGGGGAGCTGACTGGGGGACGGGCAGTCATCTCCTCCTCCTCCTCCCCTCAACGTGGCTTCCCTGGCTCATTAGAATATAGGCTCCTTGAAGGCAGGGACCATCTCACTTTCATCTTTCTATCCCCAGTGTATAGTTTGGTGTCTGGCACATTCTAAGCACTTAATAAATGCTTTTTTGGATCAACATGGGCCTGCCCTGGGATCCTGAAATCTTCCACAAAGCCCCTGTTGGTATGCCCTTGACTCCTCAGCAGGGATAAGCTCGTCACAGGCTGGGAGAAGCTGCCCCAAAATGAGTGGAGTTATTTAAATGCCAACAAATCGAGAAATTCAGCTAAGTGCTATTGTTGGCCAGTCAAATTCAAACACAAGTGGGGACCACTATTCTATACGGAAAGATCCCTGCAGGCCACATATTGACTTCGTTTTAAAATGTGGTATTTCTTTTATTGTTTTTTTTTTTTATTTTGTTAACTGTTTCCCAATTATATTTTAATCGGGTTTGGGCCTCACTTGGGAGTGTTGTGGGCCACATGTCTGACATCTGCTGTCAGCCTAGCAAACTCATTGCCTATGAAGGATGCCCAGTAGGTAAGTCTTCTCCTAAGCCAGTAAGAGGAGAAAAGAGGGTGAGTTATAGTGTGGACTAACAGAAACACCCCTCCCCCCCAATCCAACCCCTGTACCACAAGTCCCACTCCCTGCGCACACCTACCCAGCAGAGCTTCCACACACTTCACGTGGTTCCCCCTCACAGCGTACAGCAGTGGAGTCCCGCCGTTCTGGAGGAGGGAGGGGCAAAGGTGAAAATGGCTCATCACTTCGGCAAGGCCTCCCTTACTGGCAGGGCAGGGACCCTGTCTTGGAATATCGGAAGGGCCAGGCAGGCCCCAGGGGCTCCGATACAGTTATCACAATAGGTACAGTGCCTTCCCAGAGCCCCTCAGCTGCCTGGACACCTCATCTGACTCCTGGAATAAAACCCTGGAATGTTGGCACTGAAACAGATCACTAAGGCCTGGAGCTTCTGGACCCCACTGGCAGCCTGATGAAGCCTATGAACTCTTCTCAGAATAATGTTTTTAAGTGCATGAAAATAAAATACATGGGATGACAAAGATACAGTTTTCAAGATATATTAAAAAAAAAAAAGTCACAAACCCTAGGTTAAGAAGCTGATTTAATCCAACCCTTCACTTTACAGATGGAGAAAGTGAGGTTTCAAGAAGGGTAGTGATTTACCCAAGGTCCCCCAAACTAGTGGCAGAGCCAGGATTAGAACCCAGGTCTTTTCCCTCCCAACCTAGTGGCTTTTCCGCAACACCATGTGGAGTTTCGTCCTTTAGCCAGAGGAGTCTCACTATCTCCCCACGAAAGCCACGCCTGTTTGTGTCACCGCTCCAGCTTCATGGGGAAAGGCAGTGCGGGGCAGTGGGAAGAGTCAGGAGAATCCTGACTGACACATTAGCTGTGGGGCTCTGGATGGGACCCAGGCTCTGGCCTCATTGGTGCTAAGGGAATAATCCCCAGAGTAACCCCTTTGAAGGGTTGTAGTGAGGCACCAAGGACACATCCACTATTCCTGAAGCTCAGCCTCGGAAGCCTCCCCAACCGCCTGGGCCTGGGCCTGACTCCTGAGCGTCCCAGGATTGAGAAGTGGAAGGAATTGGTGAGATTATCCATAAAATGAGAGGGTCAGATGGACAAAGAGACTGAGGTTAAGGAAGTGGCCCAAGGTAACCCAGGCAGTAACAGCAGAAGCAGGATTTGAACTCCTCTGCTCCAGAACCACTCTCCTATACTGCTCTGCCTTCTCTGGACTCTTGGGGTGCCTCTGGGCAGCAGCCCGTCCACTGCAGGTGAGGGAGACACCCCGTCCCCCCATGCCAAGTAGAGGAGCTCGTCCGATCGCAGCTGCAGTCACAAGTGAGTGTGGGGGGCACTGCAGGGGGCCTTACCCAGTCGTAGCTGTTGATGTCCACGTCCCGCTCCAGAAGCATGACCACAATATCTGTGTAGCCTCCAGTGCTGGCCAGTGAGAGGGCACTCTCCCGTTCCTTGGCCAGGACGTGAGGATCAGCACCCTGTAGGGCAAGAAGGTAGATGAGCCCCAGTGTGGGGGACAAGTTGGAGGCTGAGAACCCTGGTTACTGCCTCCTGCTCGACTGAGTCCATTTTGTCAGAACCACTTTGGTGAAGACACTGTCATTGAAGGCAAGGTAAGACATTCGCTATTGCTAGGCCTCTGTTTCCCTGCCTAGGACAGGCTGCAGAGTTAGACTCTAAGTCTCCTTCAGCTCCGACAACGTTCTCTAAGATAAAGTTCAGACTCCTCAAAGTGGCGTCAAGGCCCTTCCCACTCTGGCCTCCATTTACCTCCAAATGCCCACTAAGGAGTGAAGCTTTTGATGGCCCAGACGACAGTGGCTTAGCAGGAAATACCATCAGGTTCTGAGCTCCTGCCCTTTACTCTCGCCCAACCCTTGGGGACTGGGAATAGGGAGGGATTTGGCTGTAGGATGGCCCCCATGGGAGCAGAAAGAGAGAGGGAATCTTGTCTGGCAATCCTGGCTCAGACTTCCCCAGCTACCAGACGGCTCTTCATAGTATCACTGAACCCTCAGTCATATGAATAAATGTCTAGTGTGTCCACAGCAAGGGGGATAGCTACCCACGGTCCTCTGTCCTGGCCAGACCCCATCTGGAAGACCATATTCAGATCACAGGATTTAGAACTGAAAAGGGAAGCCCACGGTCACCGAATCTGGCATTTAACCCCAGGCAAGAACTCTTTCTTTGCAGTCCGCCTGACGGATGAACAGCCCACCCTTCTGCACTCTCCAAAGAAGGGGACCTCCACCCTCCCCAAGGTGGCTCCAAATGCTGAGACGTTCCAGCACATGTGGAGGTCCCCCAGTCACTTCCATCTACTGCTCTGAGCTCTGCCCTTGCTCATCCTTCCTCTCTGTGACATTGCTTCTGGTAGAGACAGCAATCACAACCCTTCCAAGAAGTCTTTTTTGCAGGATTAATATTCCCCACATAGTCTGAGGTCCTGTGTTTTCCTCTAGAGGTACTCCAATTTCCACATGATGTAATACATTGAAAAAAGCATCGGATTTGGGGTTGGGTGACTCCAATGAATTGAACACAGTGTTTCAGAGGAGGTCTGACCAGGGCAGGCAGTAATGGGAGTCTCATCTCTCTCCCTCTGGACAGGAGACATCTATTCCATTTATGTGTATGGCCTAAAATTACATTAGCTGTCTAGTTGCCAAGTCACACGTTTGATTTATACCAAGCTTGTCATCAGGTAAGATCATCCCCACGGCTAGGTGTCAAAGTAGATAGATCTAGGGGGTTAAGAAGACCTGAGTTCAAATCCTACCTCAGATACTTACTAGCTGTGTGACCCTGGGTAAGACAGTCAACTCTCTGCCCTCAGTTTCCTCATCTATAAAGTGGGGATAATAAAAGCAACTACCTCATAGGTTTGTTGTAAGAATTCAGTGAGTTAACACACATAAAGGCTATTATTAAATGAATTGTTTCCCCACTACATCTTTTCCATCCTGCATCTGAACAACTGATTTTCCTTAGCTAAGAAAGACCATCCCCAAGATGCTGGCAGCCAGCAGCCTCCCCCAGCCTCTTACCCACTCCAGCAGGAAGCGCACAGTCTCGATCTCTCCGAAAGCAGACGCCCAGATCAGGGGGGTGAAGCCACGCTCATCGGGTTTGTTCACCAAGTTGTCACCTGGCAGGACGGGGAAAGCTGGCTATGCCTACAGCCAAGCCAGCCCTTAGGCTAGGAAGGGCCGGGACTCCCCCAGCTCTCCTGGGTACAAGTAGGTATGGCATCAACAGAGAAGGGAGACTGGCAGGGGGCGTGTTGTCTAAATCCTGCTCTGAAAGGGGATCATAACAAATGTGACAAAATTGCTCCAGGGCTCCCCCAGCCGGTGGTGACCGACTGGATTCGGAGCTTCGGTCTCAACAGTGAAGATGGGCTGCGCTGACACACTTCCCTCTGTGACCGAAGGAGGAGATGGAATGAGGAGGTCACCTGGGGGCCAGGGTGAGGTGCTGGAAATCGGAAGACCTAGATTCTAGTTTTGGCTTTCCCACTAACTCATCATGGGGCCTCTCTGAGCCTTCTATTTCAGCATCTGGAAAATGAAGGGGGCAGAAAAGGTGACTCCCCAGGAAATGCTTGTGTTCTAAGGTCCTTCTAGCTCCGGCATTCCAGGTTCTCTAGGTCGGGGTAGAGGAGGTGGTGGACCGTGGCCTTAAAACAGAGCAAAGCTACCTGAGCTGTAGCCAGCCTAGCGGGGCTGGGCCTGAGCCTCTTCTCTCCCTCTTCTGCTCAGGAGCTGCTCTGCCCTGCTCCCACTCTGTCCATGACCATTCCCATTCAGGTCTCTGACAAAGTAGGCTGGGGTTGGCTGACCAAGTGGAGTGACTCTGAGGAGCACAGGTCCTTGAGGTCCTGGTCTTAGGGGTCTCGTGTATGTGTGAGGCTCAAGCTTGATGCAGCGGGTTGGGGGGAAGGGAAAGAAAGGGGAGGGCCTTCATCAGGGAGAAGACTGCAAGGGTCAGGCTGTAGACAACAGCCACATACCTTTAAGAAGGTATTCTTTCAGCTGGGTCAGTTCTCCCTGAGCGGCAAGCTGGTGGATGGACAGAGCTGTTGTTTACAAAGGGGAGAGGGAAAGAGGCAGAGATTATAGTGGGGTTCCAGACACTCCAATTAAAGGGAAGTGTTTATATCATAGTAGGGGAGGAGGCAACTTCTGAAAATTCAGAGATAATAAATCCAGGAGAAAATCCCTGGGGCTGGGACTCAAGAGAATGGGTTTCTGATTTGCCACAGATTTGCTGTGTGACCCTAAATACATCCCCTCCCCTGTCTGGGGTTCAGTTTCCTCATTTTTACATTTCAGAGGTTAGACTAGATGGTCTTTAAGGTTCCCCCAGTTTAGACATTCTATAGTCTACATTCTAAGGATCCTGCTGGCTGAAAATTCTAGGAGTGAGTCCAACTCCCTCCAGAAGGGCTTCCCTTCCACACCCTCCCTTTGCCCAACCTTTGGTCCCCAGGAGGTATACTCACAGTCCAGGGTGGCAGGCAGGGCTGAAATCTCATTTCCCCTCTGCCGGTTGGTCAGGGTGGTAGAGTGCTTCAAGGAACTGCCTGCTGGGATAGAAAAAGGAGAAGTCAGGAGGGAACTGTTCCCTTTCTCCACCATGACAGAAGAAAAGATAGATTTCTGAAGTCTGAGGAAAAGAACACCTGACCAGCAGTCAGAAGGCTTGGGTTTGGGTGCCAGCTCTGCTCTTTGCTAGCTGGGTCCATCAGTCACTCAACAAGCATTTATGAAGCACTTAGGATACAAAGCATATTAAGCATAGAATACAAAGAAACGCAAAAACACTCCCTGTTCTCAAGGAGTGTCCACTCTAATGGAGGAGACAACAGGTAAATGCTAGGTAAATATAAGGGGCAAAGAGAAAGAAACAATTATTAAATGCGGATGCCTACTACGTGCCAGGCGCTGTGCTAAGTACTTTACAAATATCATCTCCTTTGAGAGAATACTCTGTAGACAAAGTAGATGAAAGCAATCTGAAAAAGGAAGGCATTAGCAGATGGTGGGATTAAGCTCTGTGACTCTGGGCAAGACCTCCTCTAAACCTCATTCCCTTTTCTCGTCTGTAAAATGGGGACTGATAACAGATACACTACCTATCTCCTAGGGTGCTTGTGAGAGGAGCCAGTTTTTGTAAAATGATGCTCCTCCTCCTAAACCAGGGCTCTCCCCAAGGGAGGACTTACTGTGAGGTGCAGTGAGGACCCCATCCAGGTCGGGACTCCCCGAGTCTGGAGTACAAGGATACAGGCGCAACAACACAGTGTCGGAACCATCGGAGCTGTCCTGGGCTGGGTCTTCAGGCTGCGAGCCAAAGGCAGGGACGGCATAGGGCTCCTGGAGTTGGCCGGGGCCCTCGGGACCTAGGCTGGCCACGGCCCCTTGTGGCTCCATGGAGGGCACTTCTGGAGAGTCCAGATGAAATCAAGAAATTAGGGTGTCCACTCCCCTCTTGTTCACTCCCTCCCCCTCCGTACCACTGCCTCCTCATACCAGGGAGGATGCTCCCAATTCCTAGGGCCTGTTCCTTTAAGAAACTTTAGTCCTTTCTAGTCCTGGCTCGCTGAGTGACCTTGACCAGGTCGCTTCCCCTCTCTGGGCCTCAGTTTCCCCTATCTGCCAAATGTCGCCCAACGCATAAGAAATACAGGGTCAAGCAAACCCTTCGAGCCCCGCTGGATGCAATGACATGGGCCTGCATTTTGCTCTGGGGCCCCGGAGGGAGAGCCCACCTCCGCCGACCCCAGCCTTTCCCCTCCGGGCTGGACGCTCCTCGCACCCCGGCCGGGGCCACGTCGGAGAGCGCCGCGCCCGGGGGCTAAGTGCGCGAGGCTCTGCCCACGAGGAGGCCGGGGACTGACTAGCTTCCCCCCCCCCCCCCCCCCCGCTTCCCCTGCTGCGGAGCCAGGACCCTTCTCTTCTCGACCCCCAGCCCCGGACTTCCAAAGCCCGAACCGAAAGTTAACTTTACCAAACTGCACCGCTCCGCCCCCTAGCCCCCTTCCCCTAACCCGGCCGGGGGCCTCCCACAATGCACCTGAGCGCGGCGGGGGCGGGGGGCGCCCGTCTCCCGCTTGGGAGCAGCTGCGCAGAGCGCAGGGAAGGGGAGAGGCGCGCTGGCCCTTTAAGAACTCAGCTTCGGCCCCCGAGAGATTAACAGGAGGAGGAGGAGGGCCGGGCGGAGCCCGGACGCAAGGAGGCTAGATCGGAGGGCTTCCAGTGCGTCTGCGCACCACCCGAGCCCCTCCCGCCGGGACCAATCACCTAGGAGCTGGGCGGGACCGCCTCGGCTGCGGGGTTTAAAGAGACGGCGCCGCCCATTTCCATGTCACTCTCCCGAGGGGCTCGTGCGGGGATTTGGGGGAGGCCCGTGGGCATTGTGGGGGTGAACTGGGAGACTGGCCACGAGGTCCGAGGTGGGTCTATAGAACCTCTCTCCCTTTCCCTGAGCCCAGGCCTCCCCTTTCCCAATTGAGCCCCTCGGGGAGTGTCCGTTCCACCCAAGGCCAGGAAGGGAGTCCCTTCTGTCTCTCTCCCAGTCCCGGGCGGAAGTCACAGCCCAGGGTTGGGGCTAGGGGGCGGGGAGGAGGGCCGGGTGGGGAAAGGGAGCCAGACCGGAAGCGGAACTGGAGCGGCGCGGCTATGAGTTTCTGCCGGGACGGTCGAGGAGTTGCACTTATCCCCGGCCCCCCGAGACTTCCCGTCGCCACCAACCGCCACTAACTGCCACAAACCGCCGGCTGCGCGGAGGCGCCATGGAGGAGGCAGAGATGCAGCTGAAGGGGAAGAAAGGTGGCGGGGCGGGGACTGGGGGCCGGGGAGGGAGGAGGAGGAGGTGAAAAATCGGAGCGGGCTGGAGACGCCGCTGTCTGACCCTGGGCAAGTGTCTCCCCCTCTCTGGGTCTGAGGGTGCCTTCTTGAACGATGCGGGGTCCTCACCTGCAGACCATAGACTTCAGGGAATCCGTAAACTAGGATGGGGACAAAATGCATCCTTACTTTCGCTAATCTTTGATTTCCTTACACATTTTGTTATGCATTTAAAAACGTCTCTCTGAGGAGTCCGTAGGCTTCCCCAGGTCGGCGGCCAAAGGGGTCCAGACACTAGCAAGGTGGAGAACCCCAGCACCCTCGGGTTCGGAGGGCCCTTGTGATGCCATATCCTGGAAGGCTCTGAGACGCCTCCATGTTCCGGAGGATCCCTAGCCAAGAGAGCCCTTCACCCCTTCTCCGATTGTCTCCCAGTTCATGGCCCCATTTTTCCCCTCTCTGTTGTCGGTGCTAGAAGGGACCTTAGACGTCACCTAGCTCAAGGCACCCATTTTACAGATAGAGAAACTGAGACCCAGAGAGAGGAAGGGGATTGATTGACTTAAATTGTGTCAGAGCAGTGGTGGAATTGCCTTATAAACCAGTTTCTCCTCTCTGCCCGCCTCCAATTAACTTGTTCTTTTTACTCCTCTAACAACCTCCTTCCCGAGTTAGACCTGACCTCATATGTAAAGATGAGAAGTCTGTCTAGTGCAATACAATACCTATCTAGTCCGATAGTTGTTTAAGGACCCTTTTCGGAATGAAATCTATGATTTTATGCCCCTTAGTTATTTCCTACCCCAACTGTCCCAAACCAGATTTTTTCTTTCAAAATACTCCCTCTATCAAGGAAAAAAAAAGGAGGGGGGAGGCTTATTTGCAGTAGGAATGGAATAAACATTTATTAAGCTTCTACTGTGTACCAGGCATTAACAATATTATCTAGCTTGACCTTCAGAACAATTCTTTGAGGAGGATGTTACTATGATTCCCATTTTACAGTTGAGGTAACTGTGGCAGACAGAGGTGAAGTGACTAGCCTAGAGTCACACAGCTAGTAAGTGTCCAAATTTGAACTGGGGAGTCTTCCTAACTTCAAATCCAACCCCTGTCCACCTCATCTCTCTCCTCTTGAGACATTTATTTCAATTCTTTCCAATTTTCCCCAAGGTTGTTTTTCTCTTTTGACATCAGTGCCCACTCCCTAACATACACATACAAACTAGGTTTCTTCACAGATATTTCCTTTCTCTTTTCTCTTTTTTCAATCAAAATCCAAAGGGATTCATTGTCCCAATGTTTATTTAGAAAGATGGGGTTGGTAGGGCTTAATTGGAATGAACAAATGCCTAGGTTGTCAGCTCCTTAGATGGGTATGTCTTCTCAGAAGACAGTAGCTCTCTCCTGGCCCTCTGAGATCCTGGGTTTTTTGTTTGTTTGTTTGTTTTGGGTTTTTTAGGCTTCTGGAATATAATATGGCCAGAGTGTTTATGTTCAGGGATGGGTTGAGCTATTCTGGCCAATTGTAATGCAACACCTGAGTGAACAAGGTCAGATCTTTATATGCCAAGGGATCAATTTGAACAAAAACTATAATAGACATCAGTTGTTTTCAGTCTGTATTGTTGAGGGAAGGTTCAGATATCTTCCTCTTTCGAGGATGCATAAGTTGCTACTGTAGCCCTTAACTTCTAGAATTCTAGCAACTTGCCTGCTCTAGAGCTGGTCTTGGGTGGAAGGTTGATAAGTTTGGGAAAGTATAAGAGTTGGGGGGAGGGGAGAGGTAATTTTCATTATTTTGGGATCTTTCTTCATATGGACTGTGTCTTAACCGTGGCCACTGGTCTTGGGTTCAGTTACAGATAAATTCACAGAGAGTGTTTACGTCCTGGCCAACGAGCCATCCGTGGCACTGTATCGCCTACAGGAACATGTGAGGCGCTCCCTGCCGGAGTTAGCCCAACATAAGGTGAGCTTAGAGCCAGTGGCTAGCACAGTTTCATGGATAGAGCACCAGCCCTGGATTCAGGAGGACCTGAGTTCAAATCTGGCCTCAGACACTTGATACTTATTAGCTGTGCTACCCTGGACAAGTCACTTAACCCTATTGCCTAGGCCCCCTCCCCCTGCAAAAGAGCATTTTCTCTTAAGCTTGAGAGTCAGTCATGTTTGTCAGGTTGGGACCGGTGGAAGGAACTAGAGACATTTTAGCTTTGAAGAGATTTAGGGGAGTGGGGGGGAATATAATCACTGTCATCAGTATTAAAAGGGTTGTAATAGGAAGAGATACTTATTCTATGTGGCTTCAGAGGATATAACTAGAACCACTGAGTAGAGGATATAGGGAGGCAGATTTCAGTTTCAGGAGCAATTTAGCAATCAAAGGTGTCCCCCACTGCTATGTGCTGTTATTTTGAAATACTGATCCCTCCATCACTGGAATTTTTTAAACAGCAAGGGAGGGGGTGTTGTAGAGGGATTCATATTTCAAGTAGGGTTTGGACTACATGACTTAAGTTTTTTAAATTGATATCCTCTATTTACATTACCACAGCTTCCCAAAATATCTCTTCTTTTTCCCCTCCTCAAAGAACCAGTACTTATAATAATAAAAAAGGAAGGGTAGAGAATGTAGTTTAACTAAATTAAACACCTTAGTTGAGTCTGTCAGTTGTTCATGTCCATTACCCCATCTCTGTGAAGATGATTTCAAAGGTCCCCTATAGCTCTGAGTTTCTTTGCTATGTGCTGTAGGGGAAAGAGCAATACCTTTGGGAAGTTAGGCCTGAGGTCAGTTTCTAAAACTTCAACTTCCTGGTGGGCAAGTCAGCTTACTTCTCTTCCATTCTGTTTTTCTAAAAATCAAGAGAATCCTTTCCACAAATGCTTTGGAAACCTTGAAAGTGCTTATATCAATGTTAGTCACTGTTAACACTGTAAACTGACTCTGCTTGCTTCTGGAACTGATGAAAACCTGGATAAGACCCTACCTGCCACCTTTATGGAACTTGAGTACTAGGTTGCTTTCCTACAAAAATAACATGTTCCATTTTATAGGATATTTAAGTACAGAAGAGTTACAAAGCATGCTATGGAGATTCTAAGGAGCGAAAATTGTTTCTGACCCGGGAAGGAAGGCTTCATGGAAGAGGTAGTATTTGAGCTGGGTTTTGAAGAGTGAGTGGCATTTTAACTGAGATGAGGAAGGAGGAATTCTAGGCTTTGGCAGTGTTGGGAGAAGAGGCAGCAAAGTAATGTAGTTCATTTCTTAGAGGACAGAATGGAGGGAGAAAAATGAAAGGACTGAAAAGTTAGGTTGGCACCAGCTCCCAGAGAATCCCACCTGTCGAGTGGGGAAGTTTGTATTTTGTCACATAGGCACTGGAGAGAGCCACTTCAGGCTATTGTAAGTAGGGGACTGACATGGTCAGGACTTTGTGTTAGGGTAAGTCACTGGCCATTGGGGTGAAGGATGGACTCAAAGAAGGGAGGTCAGCATAGGAACCTGGGGTCAGGAAAGTCCAGGTGGTTTTGAACATCCTTGGAAAGAAATAGTTACCTGCCATTTAGACATAGTCATCTGCATGTTGTCTCCCCCATTAGACTACACAGGGGTGGGGAACCTGCGGCCTTGAGGCCACGTGTGGCCCTCTAGGTCCTCAAGTGCGGCCCTTTGACTGAATCCAAACTTCACAGAACAAATCCCCTTAATAAAAGGATTTATTCTGTGAAACTTGAACTCAGTCAAAAGGCTGCACCCCAGAACCTGGAAGACCACAGTGGCCTCAAGGCCAAAGGTTCCCCACTCCTAGACTACAAGCTCCTTGAGAAGCAGGGCCTGGCTTTTACCTTTCTATGTGAGCTTAGCACAGTGCCAGGCACACTGTTTCATACATGTTAAATTGCCTGGCAACAGCTTTAGTGATATAAGTAAGAAAGCTCCAAGTTATTATTAACATAAAATAAATTTACCTGCTACTCCAGATGTGAACATCTGGCTGTCCTCACAAATCAGGCTTTAATAGTAAACCCGTAAGACTGATGTGATTGAAATGCTCATGCATTTCTGTCCCATGGGCCAGGGCTACACCTGTTGAGATATCTGACATCTACACAAAACATAAATCCTGGAAAGTGTAAATGTTTTTAAAGTTTGTGAGCAGGATTGGGCTCGTGGGGTTTTACCTAGATACAAGTTCAGTGAAGATTTCACCTTGTTCCTTTGTCTTCTGCTTGAGAATTTACTTCTCTGTATAAATACAAAAAATTCATTTTCAAACATGCTTTTTTTCCTCATTGCCCCTAAATCTTGGAGTCTCTTTGTTGTTTTTAATCCTTTCTCAGGGGTCCCATTAGTGTAAACACATGCTAGTCTTATGGAATCAAAGAATGTTGGTGCTTGAAGGGCCCTTAAGATATGGAACACAGAATGCCAGCACTGAATCCCGAGTAGTGAGATCTGATATTGATGTGACTCTTTCCAGTTTACAAAGTGCTTTGTATACATTCTCACATGATCCTCATGACACTCTGTGAAGTAGATACCATAGAGTGTTGTCACTATTTTATAGATGAGGAAACTGAGGCATAGAGAATTATTTACCTCAGGTCACACAGCTTGTGTCAGAGTTGGGATTTAAACTCCATTCTGTGCTGAAGCTAGGTCCAGTGTTCTTTACTCTGTTTACTTCCCTTTAGAGCAGGGGTTCTTCTCAGGTTCATGAACTCCTCTTCCCCCCCACCCCCAGATTTTGATGACAATTTCAGTATGATTGGTTCCATTTGTGAATTTAAAGAATTTTCAGTTCCAGATTCCAAATTCAGTTCCAAAAAAATCCAAATCCTTTCACCCCTCCCCCACCCAGTGAGAAGACTAGAAATACAATTCCCGTTATACATATGAAATCATGCAAAATATATTTCCACATTAGCCATATTGTGTAGAGGGAGGTGGAATAACCAAGAAAAATAAAATGAAAAAAAATGCACTTTAGCCTACAAGAAAGTAAAAAAAGAATCCTTCAGTCTGCATTCAGACTCCATCATTTCTCTTTCTAGAGGAGGATAGCATTTTTCATCATGAGTCCTTTGGAATTATATTGGATCATTGTATTGATCAGAGTAGCTAAGTCTTCCCCAGTTGATCATCATTACAACATTGCTGTTACTGTGAACAATGTTCTTCTGGTTTTGCTCACTTTACTTTGCATCAGCTCATCTAAGTCTTCCCAGGTTTTTCTGAAACATGATTTCATCTGTAACCTCATATTTTATGCATTTAAGAACATTAATCTGAAGACTCCTTCAGTTTTGCCAGACTTCCAAAGGGCACATGATAGTTGAAAAGGTGGAGAGCTTTTGCACTGGAAAGAACCTTGGTTATCTTCTTTATTTGACAGATATAACTGGCAAAGTCCTCTGTAAAATGTCTGTGTATTTCTAAGTGCCAAGATGGCTATTTCACGTGTTCAGGTGATTTGTTTGCATGAAAAAAGTAGCCTCTGCATAATTGACAGGCATTTTAAGTAGCCAAAGTCCCTGCTCAGCAGAATACCTTAATGCAGGGTCTTGATACCCCAACTCCATTTTCCTCTTCTCAGTTCGTCATCCCTGGTTTATGATCAATGGTTCTGTCATGGTGCAGAGAGCTTTAGGATGGTTGAAGAGAATCCTCTGCATGATTAGAAGCAGGCAAGAAAAGCATCAACAGCATGAATCTTGGGGCCTTTGGTGACTGTAAATACTAATGTCCCTAGTGCTTAGAATTAGAAGAAAACTGTGCTGAAGCTTAACTGTGGTAGGAAGGGAAGGGCCAGCCCATCTTTGGTCACGAAGTACCACTAAGTACATCCTCAGAAGGTCTTTTCTTAGGTTGGTGTGATAAATAGAAAGTCTCACCCGGTGTGATAGAAGATGATCATTGTCTGAGCCTTTCACTGCTGATCACTTATATGAAAGAGGCAGTGTGGTACAGTGGGCACAAGATCATGTTTGCAGAAAGAGGATTTGGGCAGATTCCGATTCTGCCTCATTATTCAGTTTCCTCCTCTCTAAAATGGACTTAGACTCAGTGATCTCAAAGACCCAACTCAGATCTCTGATCCTCTAAGTAAAAAATGGGGATGGAAGAGAGGGAGATAAACAGTGAATATAAACTGTAAGCTTCAGTAGTATTAAATAGCAATCCTAAAAACCTTACATACTATTAGGCTACTCTTCACATGTTCAGAAAGAAGAGGGTATTCATGGCATGCTGTGACCTGTCTTGGGTAGACCATATCTGGAGGATAGGAAGTCTGGTGGAGGGGGACCAACATGTGATGTCATCCCAGGTGAGGATCTGTTGAAACAGCTAAGGATGAGAAGGAGAGACACGAGGTCAAGTTCCACGTGGCTTTGGCAGCATCCTGTAGGATGGACAAGGGTGGGGAGAAGCTTGAGGCCAGGACCAGGGGTCAGCAAACCTTTTCTGTAAGGGCTAGATAGTATTTTAGGCTTTTGGAGCCAAGAGGCAAAATCAAAGATATTATGTAAGTAATAATAAGAGAAAACAAAATTTTAAGTGATGAAATATAATGATTGAGTACAGTTTTTTGTAGTCCAGGTCTACTAATGAAAAGAATGGAATACTTCCTGGGGGGAGGGCCATGGAGGTGGGGAATAACATTTTGCTTCATTTGGGTTCAAAGTTGGTGTTCTCTTTCATCAAAATTATAAATGTTCATCTGTTAGTGCTGGTTTGTAATGAGATTTTATGTGTTTCAACTTTGAAAATGCTCTTTCGTACAGATAGTTACTGCCAATACTGACATCAGTCCATGAGCAGGTGATTTTATTTGAACATATTCATCACCTGGAAGGCATTTCTAGAATTCTATTAGATCCTTCTCTTGGTATTTGCCTTTTAGCAGCTCATTATATTGCAGATTAATCACTACCATTTGAAGGGTAGAGGCTCCTCGATTTTGGTTAATTGGATTTTGAAATATGGAAATTCTTTTTGCATTTGCATCGAGGTCTGCAAAATGCTGCTGGAATCATTGTTTGAGCTCAGAAAATCCATTCGCTGCCAATTTGTGTGGGAATGGAGATTTCCCTTCTTGTTTTAAACGTTGACAGCCCAGGAAATGGATAAAGCAGCTTGACATAACTTGTGGTTCAAACAATGGTAGTTGTCATAGAATTGACTTTACTGCAGTTTAAGTTTTGCGCAGAAGCACTGTTCTACCTAGTAATTTTCAGGTTGGATTCATTAAGAAACATTATCAAGTCTGTTGCAAAAGCTAGAGGCAGCTAGACAGTGCAGTGGATAGAGTACCGGGCCTGGAGTCAGGAGGACTCATTTGCCTGAGTTCAAATGTGGCCTTAGATGCTTACTACCTCTGTGAGCTTGAGCAAGTTACTTAACCCTGTTTGCCTCAGTTTTCTCATCTGTAAAATGAGCTGTAGAAGGAAATGGTGAACCACCCTACTATCTTTACCAAGAAAACACCAAATGGGGTCACAGAGAGTCAGACATGACTGAAAAATGACTGAGCACAACAAAAGCTACTTTCCAAAGCCATTTAGTGGTCAGTGATAGTGGTTGAAGGCAGTTCTTTTCATTCAAAAAAATTTTAGTTTTTGCCCTGAGCTCAAAAAAAATCATAAGAAGACTTTTTTTTCCTTCTTGATTTGATATGGTGGGGATGCAGTGGTAGTTTTTTTTTTTTAATGTCCCATTTCAACAATACATGGGGCATTTGAAACCCTGTTGAGTTATAACCTTATTCCTATGATGTGTAATTCGGTGGTGGGGCAAAGCAGTGACAGTGACACATATGGTCTCTGTCCCAAATGTTTGGCTCTGTTGTTGTAGCGTGAAAGCCGACACAGACAATACACAAATTAACCGGTGTGACTTTGTGCCAAGAAAATTGCATTCATGGACACTGGAATTAGAATTTTGTGTAATTTTCATGTTCACAAAGTATCCTTTTGATTTTTTTTTAATAGTTTAAAAACGTAGAGATCTTTCTTAGCTCACTGGCCATACAAAAACAGGAATCTAGTTGAATTTGGCCCAGTAGTTTGCAGACCCCTGGACAAGGAGACCAGTTAGGCTGTTGAAATAATCAGGAAACAGGGAGAGACAGAGACAGACAGGGGAGGGGGGCAGGAAGAGAGAAGAAGACAAAGAAGAAGGGAAACAGGGAGGGAGAAAGGAGAACATGAGAAAGAGCATGGGGGCAAGGGAAAGAGGGAGGGAAGGAGAGAGAAAGAGAGAGAGAAAATTGGTGAGGGAAAGGGTGGGTTAGTTTGTCACTTTACTCCCTTCTAACTCTGAGGCGCTGTTATTTAACCTTTCTGGTCCTCAGTTTACTTACCTATCAGAATAAAAGGATTAAATTCAATAACTCTTAAAGATTCCTTCTAGAAATTGGGGTCAATAGAAACCTGAATTCAAATCCTGGCTCCAAAGACCAGTGTTCTTTCTATTATATTATGCTTCAGAGCTAGAGGAGATCTTTGAGAATTTAGAATATCAGAACAAATCACTGTACCAGATTAACTGCGTTTTCTTTTTAGGTTTATCAGACTAGTAGGGTCAGGGGATGCTGTAAATATAGGTAGTTATCCGAAATCTAGGCTTACCTTAACATAAGGAAGGATGGGTTAAATCCCCTAAGGCAGCATTACTTAAACTGTGGGTCTCGATCCCATATGGATTGAGAGTGAAACAGATTTAAAAAGCCCTGCCCTAAGAGATTTGTGGGAGTTTTCGAGGGAAGGTAAGTCACTTCCAGCTGAGCAGGTCTGAGAAAACTTCCTGGAGAAGCTGCTATTTGATCTGGTCTAGAAGGGTCTTGAAGACAAGTAGGCTTTCAGACCTGGAGAATTAGAGCATCTTAAAAGTCATGTAGTTCAGCCTTCTCTAAAAATGTAGTTGAGAAAACTGAGCCCCAAAGAAGGGATGTAACTTCCTCAGGGTCATACAGCAAGTTGCTTACTTGTTTTTGTTTTTGTTGACTCCCTCCTTGCAAGCCAAGAATGATGTGAGGGAAGAGTCAAAGCCCTCTATGTTGTCATCAGTCTGGTTTTAATTTGAAAATGAATATTTCAAAGCCTCTACCTCTACCTTAGAAATGATGATCAGGATTTACAGTGTGGCTCTCTAGGTGTGTTGTCAGCCCAGCTGCCCTTGACTGCCCTTGGTAGCTAGAGTTGGTCTTAGGAAATTAACAAGGACTTTTCGTTTTATCGTTAGTATACTGTCAAAGCTATACCCATTTCCTTCACTTGGGTGCTTCTCAAGCAAGCACTTTGGAAACCTTAAAATGCTGTAGTGATGTAAATGGTTGCTTCGAGGATTTCATGTATGTGGCTCTTCCTTCCACCAGCATTGGATTGCTGCTCCTCTTTGATTTCATATAAGATGAGCTAAGAATGGCTCCATCTTGGGAGGACTTGTCAGATTTTATGCTCTCCCAACAACCCGGGACATTCCTATGTCACAATGAGTAATAACAACAGACATTTCAATCGTGTTTTAAGGATTAAAAAATACCATCTGATTGGATCCTCAAACTCACCCTATGAGGTAAGTATCATAAGAAGTATTAGCTCTGAGACTGTTAAGTGAGGAAGCTGAGGTTCAGAGATCTTAAGTGATTTGCTTATAATCGTATAGTATATATATGTCAGAGGTGGTATTTGAACCCAAATCTTTTCAGATTCTAAGTGTCATTAGAGTAGGACTTAAGTGGAAATAATTCTTTCACAGGGGTGGATGGGTACTTTAAAAGATAAGATGTTTCATGTAAAGCTGCTCCTTTCTAATTATGTACCTGAAAGCTTCAAGATACAGAAAAAGATATTGGTGGCAGAAAGCAAAGGTATAGATTTTTAAACTTTCAAAACAGATGACATTTAAAGTCATCCCTGGGAAAGCACATCTTTGCTTTAACTAGGCAAAAATAAGACCCTTGCTGTGGTAAACTTTAGCTTTCCAACTCCTCTCAGGTCATATGAACTCTCAAAAAAATAGTGTATGTTCTTGTAGCAAATTTGTACTTCCTGAGGTTTGTAATTGATTGAGGAAGATTGGGGGGGTTCTTAGAATAATCTAATCACCAAGGTCAAAGCGAGTTATCCCCACTATTATGTCAACCGCAGCAAAGTAATTCCGTGCTTCAGTCTGTCTTCATCCCATTGCTCTTAAGGGGAAGATCCAGGTCTAGGCAAACTTTATGTGCCTTGTCATAAACCAGTTATGGAATGTTGGTGCTGGAAGGGGCCACAGAGTAGACATCACCTGTCTAGTCACATTGAAGGATTGTGGTCCAGTAGTTCAGCAGGAGAGCAGTGGAGCTAAGATTGGTCTCAGGTTCTCGGGCCAATTCTCTTTCCACTACAGCACATTATTATTTTATCCAAAATCTAAATTTTGATCAATCCCTTCTCCCCCGCTACTCCCTCTGGAAAAGAAAAAAAGGAGAAGAAGAAAAGGCTTTCATTGAATAACCTCCAGCATTTCTTTTCAGTCTGACATGCAGAACTGGGAGGAACAGAGCCAGGGAGCCATATATACAGTGGAGTACGCCTGCAGGTAAACTCAGGAGCTTAATTTTAACTTTTTTTTCTACATTTGCAGACAGAATTTGATCCCAGCACTGAGCAGGAAAGGATAATTGTTCCCTCTAGAAGGGATGCCTTCTGTGTGTGACCCCAGAGGTCATCACCCAGGTTACTTTCAGTGTACACTGCATGTGATGGTTCGTTCTTCTTCATGTCCTGCTCCAGATATTGGAGATGGAGTCTGGCTCTCAGTTCAAGTCAGTAAACAGTTACTGTACCCCTGCCCCGGAATTGGGCTGAACATAATTTTAGCAACTCACATTTCTTTAGTTCAAATACTTTTTACGTGCAAGTCACTGTGCTAGGTGCTGGGACTACAAAGACTTAAAAAGTAACCCAGTTCCTTCTCTCAAGGAGCTTATGTTCTACAGATAAGTATTATACAAAGCAGGGGCAAAAGAGAGCCAGTGCACGAGGCCAGTTTAAGGGGATTAGGGGAGGGACATACTTTGGGGTGAAGGGAAGGATGGGGAGGGCATTCTAGAAGAGACAGCCCCAAGTCCTGCACTCAACCCTGACACACCAGTGACCCCGTCCTCCAGGCACATGAATGGATCCTCCCTTAAGCTGAGAGCAGCCTTAGAGCCCTTTGCCAAACACTGACGTGCTTTTTACCATACCCATCCCACACGTTACATTGGTGGTTGTGGGACGGACAGACCCTGGTAACTGCCTTTCTTGTTCTCTCTGTCCCTCCCTGTATTTCAGTGCTGTGAAGAATCTGATGGATAGCAACGTTCATTTCCGAAGCATTGAGGGCTTGCTGAAGCAGGCCATCAGCATCAAGGACCAGCTGAATACTTCTCAGGGTCGAAGGTAGCTCCTGAGAGCAGAGGTCAAAGATCCACTGCCCACCAGGGATGTTGTAGGCAAGAATGCATGAACCCATGACCTAGTTGAATTAAGAACAGTGCTGCCCAGAGCAATGCAGAAAACCTCCCATTGCTTTTGTTAGTCTTCATGTGGCTTTTCTTTGTTGGGCAAGAATACAGGTAGAGTTTTCAGATGTTGAAATGAAAATAGCTTATTTTCATACATCTGGAAGAATATTTTTGGCTAATATGTAGCCCCCCTTTTTTTGTTCTTCATCCTGCTAGCTAATTTGAATAAGTTATACTTTAAGCCTCCCATAGCCTCCTTTTTTTGATGCTTCTGGGAGCCTTTTCTGGATTGGTGGTTCTAGGAGGCATTGTGAAATACTTCCCCACTGCCACCCCATCCCCAAGTGGCAGAATCCCCTATTTGCTGCTGCCTCTTGACACAGATTGCTAAAAGACTAAGGCTGCTATCGGTTCCTTCCTGTTCCTTCTGGGAAGGCCAGTTTGAAGGGATCAAATAAAAAGTCTGCTGGCAAAATTACAAGCCTGGTTTTGATTCAGAGAGCTTAATTCTGTCTTGCCTAAGTTGCTTCAGTTTGTTGATTTTTACAGGATTTAGACTTATTCCCTCCTTTTCCAACTAAGATTCCTGACTCTTTGGTTCATTGTAATGGAAAGAACATTGGGAGTCAGGAAGTCCTGGGTTCTAGTTCTAGCACTTCCCTAACCTGACTTGTTAAGGCCCAGCCTCTGGGCCACAATTTCCCAAGTTGGTTCCTGCACAGAGAGAGAGAGTGATAGTCACAGAATCACAGAATGTCAGTGGAGAGAGCACATTATACATCATCCCATCAAACCCCTTCATTTTATAAATGGAGAAACTGAGGCTTAGGACAAGTGCCTGGCCCAGAGTTGGCCAGCATATATCTGTGTTTCTACTGAAGTCACAGATGAGTCAATGTGTACACATATTTATGTACCTCCTAAAAGTCCTGGCATGCAGGGCTCTTGTAGCAGCTTTGAATTTGGATTTGGCTCCTTCCTGATTCCTTCCTGGGAGGGGAGGAGAACAGATTGAGCTTTGTTGGGTTGGTTTGGTTTTCTTGGCCTGTGTGATGGTCATGTTTTGTTACAGCCCTTCTGCCCCGAAGCCTCCTTCCTTGGCCTGATTTTTGGATGAGGCAAATCTTTCTCCACCTTCCCAGGTCAGTGTAGAGATGGGGGTGGTGCATCCTGCTGCTGTGGGGCTAATCTTGCTGCCTTCTATTTCGAGATGGAAACTTCACTTTTCTAACCTATCCACAAAGCTCCCCATGTGGACATCAAATCTAGTCATAGGGCTCTGGGGATGTAAAGTGTCAGGGTGGGAGGGCCCACAGAATGTAGCCTGGTATGTCAGACCTGGGATCTTAGGCCATGGAATGGGAGAGCTGGGAGGGACCTCCGAGATCATGTCATCCAGCCTTCTCACTTTATAGGCGAGGGCCTTGAGGAAGAAGAGACGCCAGGGCCCACAGGAAGAGGCAGAGCCAGGACTGGGTCCGGAGTCTACCCCTGATGCTCCAGGTGTGGACTCCGTGTGCCATACCATGATTGAGGATCGTGGAATTTAGAGCTGGCGAAGAGTAGAAATGGCGCTTGATGATCTCCACATTCCTTTGGTACTTTGTTCACACCAACACTGTCAGAATTATCCTTGTTTTACACAGGAGGGAATTTAGTCCAAGAAGCAAAATAACTCGCCCTTGGCCATCGAGGCATTAAGTAATAGTACTTGGTTTTCAAATCCTTGGCTTTTTCTACCTTAACCTGCTACTGCTGCTGTCCCTGCTGCCATCACCACTGCTGCTATTGCTGCTAGCTCTCCAGCTGTTCTTTCTGTTAGTGTGTCATTACTTTTCCCCATCTCACCAGGTAATCCATGTGTTCCAGGCAGCAAAGGCCCCCAGAAGACCAGTCAGGCTCAGAAGTCAGAAGCCAGAAGCACCAAGGAAGAGAAAAGGTCCCTTATCATGCCAGCACTGGTTCCAACCCCCCTTGACTCAGAGGTTCCTGTGACCTCAATGGGTGTGTGTCAGATTGGTCCGTAATATGAGCAGAAGACATTTCTAAAAACCCTACGACTGTGGCTCTTTGTCTTAGGAGTAGATCTCTTGATTCTTACCACTAAGTGAGAAGCCTGATGTCTTTTTCCTTAGGGACAGCTTTCCATCCCCAGGACCACCAAGCCTCATCTCTCTGTTGGAGGAGCCAGTGCAAATGGCTTCCTGGCCCAAAGGCTCTTCTGGGAAATATTGATAATCTTTTTGTGCAGTATCAGAGAAGGGACCTTGAAGGTCACATGAAAAAACAGGTCAGATCAAGGGAAGTGACTTAACTTGCCCAAAGTCAGACACACCATGAGTCAGTGGCTGAGCTGGGCCTAGAACCTCAGTCTCCTGACCCTCTAGTGTAGTGTTCTTTTCACTTCATAACACAATGGTACAAAGATTAACTGGCTTGTGAAGGCACTGGTACAAGGGCACTGAGTACTAGGCTATGTGGGAAGCATGTGACCTTGGAGGAGGACCCTAGAGCAAAAGAAACCTGAGACAGTGTGCCAGAGAATGCTGCTGGTCAGCCTGGGACTTGGAGACGAGAAAGGGCCCACGTAGATTGGACGAGATGGGATTGGGACCACAAGTTTGAGAGCCTTATCAAATCTCTTTTGAGTGGAAGGGGCCTCAGGGGTCAACCATGTCGTGTTGTTCAGTCATGCTCAATTCTTCATGACCTTGTAGGCAAGGCAGGGCTTTTCTTGGCAAAGATACTGGGATGATTTGTCATTTCCTTCTCTAGTGAATTAAGGCAAACAGAGGTTAAGTACCCAGGGTCACACAGTAAATGTCTGAAACCAGATTTGACTTAGAGTCTTCCTGACCCCAAGGCCCAGCACTGTGTCAACTGAGTCATCTTGCTACCTCATCTTAAGTCAGAATTTTCTTTATAGTTTCTCCAAGTGGCTATCAACGTCCACTTGACCACTTCTAGGGGTTACTGACCCATGACCTTAGAGACAACAGCTTTGTGTAAGGAAGACAACACTGGATTAGTCAGAGGTTTGAATCGCGTCCATAAATACTGTCCTGTGTGTCTGGGCGAGGCTCTTCTGTGGGCTTTAGTTTCATCTGTAAAGTAAGGGGCTTGCGGCATAGGGGGAGGGAGGTGGGGTGGTCGAGGAGTATTACTTGGGGATTAAAGTGCCTTCTGGGTTGTGATTCAGTTTAGTTTTACCACTTACCGAGGTTGCCGATTCTGTTACTAGACAGTGTTAAACTTCCTGCATGGTCCACCATTGACTCTAGCTTCGGTACTTCTGGTACTTGGTATTCCTTTTCAAGCTCAGAAGGTATCTCTCAGTACTTAGTCAGGAAAGAGTAACTGCAAAGAGGCAAAAAACAGAGGCCTGTATCTACAGGCCACAGGCCATTCAGAGTGAGAAGACAGGCAGCTGGAAGAAGCAGCCCTCTGCAACCACTGCTTATTATCTCAGCCATAGCACTTCATGCTGGCTCTGGGACAAGGAGGCCCCAAAGCCTTTCTCTAACCTGGAAAGATGACAGCTCCATCCTCCTTGCTTGAACCCCAACTGGGCAGGAAAGAGAAACTTCAGTGTCTTTCAAATGCATTCTCAGTTCTGAATCAGCCAATCAAAAAGGATCCTCTTCTCAACACGGCAAAAGAGCTAGGCCCTTCTGTTTACCATCATCACATACACCTTTCCAGAAGCAGGCTCCCTAGCCTTTTATGGAGTAGAAGCAGGTTGAACATACAGTACATTCTCTGAGAATGGGGTCCCACTGGCCAGGTCCAGTTACATTTGTAATTACCTATCTGTTATGTATTATAATCTTTCCTCACCCTCTCAGTGAAAAGTAAGCTCCATGAGGCAGGGACTGTTTTTCGTTTTTGTCCTTGTATCCCCAGTACCTAACAGTATTGCACTAAGTAGGCAGTTACAAATCTGCCCTAAGACACTAGTTGTGTGGTCCTGGGCAAATCACTTAACCTTTCTCTGTCTCAGTTTCTTCATCTGTAAAATGGGGTAATAGCACCAACTGTTGGGAGGATAAAATGAGATAGTGTTTGTAAATCACTTAGCACAGTCCCTGGCACATAGTAGACACTACATAAATGTTAGATGCTGCTGCTTCTACTGCTAGTACTACTACTACAACAACGCGATTGTTGGGTTGAATTTCACTGAACTAACATAGAAGCAACTTTTTGTTCTTTAAAGAATGATGGTATGCATCAGTTGATGCCATTTGGTAAGAGTTATGCATTGGTGGAGAAAGAAAAGATGAGCCACGGTGATTGGTCTCTCCCACTGAGAGGCACCAAGGCAACTATGTTTGTCTTCCTTGCAGAAGAAATGGAAAGGTCTGCTGTCTTCCTGGGGAAGTTCCCCCAGCTTATTAAATTCATGACTACTACCCACTTAGGGTGACTCCTGTGGCCACACATGATGCTTCCAAAAGGAATCTAGAAAGCATTGCTAAAGATTATGAAGTCTTAGGCTGCAGACTGAGGACTATGGGGCCACAATGGATATTTTCATCACCACTGCCAGTCAAAGGCAAGGATTTCAGAATATACAGGCATATTTGGAAAATGAATATCTTGTTAAGGAAATGGTATTTGCGACAAGATTTGGATTTTGGAACACTACTTAAAATTTAGAAATAACATTGTGCATATGGTTGAAGTATATTTAACAAGCACTGCTTAAAATGTAATTGGATAGAATCTTGCAAACCTAGTTGAGAAGGTTTTAAACTAAAAAGGAAAGGGAGAAAACTGCCTAGATACCATAGTGAGTGTCTACAATGGAAGCAAAATAGCAGTAAAGCTGCTCAGGAATCCACAGGAGACAAAATCCAAGGAAGGAACCAACAATAAAATACATGAATTCATATAACTACACAAATGCACAAGATAGCGATAAGGTTCAAGGTGACCTAGATGTCTTAACTCAAGGAAGTCAATTTGACTTCATGGGTATAATGTTAAAATGATAGCATTTTTATGGCACATTTGAAAGGTTGAAAAGTGCTTTACAGGCATTATTTCATTTGATCACTGGTAAAATAATGCCCATTCAAAAGAAAAAAGGTAAAAGAAGGAGGAATAACTCTTAGGAGTTTGTATGTATACTTTGTTGTCTTTGGAAGGAGAAAGAAAAGTACGACTAACATTCTGGAGGTGATTTACCATTTTCTCCCATATGCATAGGAACCAGAAAGCTTCTCTAGTTGGCAAAGGTGTTATGGGATGTCTCACTCCCAGCGTGAAGCTGACTACATCTCCCTCTTAGAGTTCCAGGCATAACCCTGAGGAGTTAGCTTTGTCTCTTTTCTAATGTTTTTAACTGGAACTCCCATATCCAATGTGGTCCAGCACTATTAGCCACCAGTGGTTAGCAACACATTTTCTTCTGGCCAATTACCATCAGTTAGCTTTTACAGAGGATATTTCCTAAAAAGATAGAACAGTAGTATAAACATTCCCCTGCTCCAGTAGCAAGGGGTACGTTCTCCCAAATACTTCCTGTCTTGCAGTTTCTACTTATGGTCCCACCAAACTTAAGTAATACCACATATGTAGTCCAGATGGGATCTAGTGGGGTATATAAAGTGGGGTATAAGCATCCGCACCCTTCTGATGGATTTGGCTTCTACATCAGCAGTTTTAAGTTCTGAGAGATAGACCACCACCACTCAGTTACATTCAGCTTCCATATCTTGGGGGTAACCCTGTTGAGAGGAAATACACATGCCCTGCTCATCACTCTAGCTTTTGAACCCTTGCCCAATGTTTTCTATCTACACAATCAGCTATTCATAAGACAAAGCATTAAGTCAGTCACTAAGTATTAAGTGCCTACTGTGTACCAGGCTCTGTATTAATAGCTGATGATAGAAAAAGAGGCAAAAGATAGTCCCTGACCTCAAGGAGGTCACAATCTAATGGGGAGATGACATGCAAACAAATATGTACACACAAACTTTATACAGGATATATAGGAAATTAGTTAACATAAGAAAGCCACTAGAATTAAGAGCAATTGGGAAGCATTTCCTGTACAAAGTCTAGTTGGGACTTGAAGAAAGCCAGGAAAGCCAGAAGGCAAAAATGAGGAGGGGGAACATTACAGACATGAGGGACTGTCAGAGAAAAATGTCTAGAACCAAGAGGTGGAGTGTTTGGTTCATGGATCATTAAGGAGGCCAATGTTAGTATGTCAAAGACTACTTGGTGGGGAATGAAGTGTAAGAAGACTGGAAAGGTGGTGGGGGAGTAGGTTATGAAGGACTTTGAATGCCAAATAGGATTTTGAATTTGATCCTCAAGGTAATAGGAAGCCCCTGGAGCTTATTGAATAGGGAGGTGACATGGTTGGACCTGTGATTTAGGGAAAAACCACTTTGGTGGCTGAATGGAATATGGAGTGGAGTGGGGAGAGACTTGAGGCAGGCAGAACTATCAATAGGCTGTTGAAATTCACATAATATGTTAATTATGTGACCGCCTCTTGTAATATTTAATAAGGCAAAATAAACTATTGTGTGTGTGTGTATATACACATATATGCAAATGCATAAATAATATAACTATATCACAAGACATCTAACACCAGGTCACCCTCTCCCATCAATGCACTCAAAAGCTATAGTGAAGAGTGGTCACATGCTTATAGGAACCTGGCAAGGAAACATAAGAGGAAGGAAAACTCATGTGCTTGGGGTAGTTTAGAACTTCAGCCAGCAGGCTTCAGTGTTTTTGATCCATTCAGGAACATCTGCATCGCACAAAACTGCTGCTCTTCTCACTGCGTGACTGTTGATCCTTATCACTCTTCAGCTGGGGAAACCTCTGCTCTACCTGAACAGAGCCTTTATGAGCTCTTTCAATGAACTATCACCTTTCAAAGGGCATTTAGAAAATATCTTAATGTGCATAACTGTTCTCCGTAAGCTAAAAAATTGTAAAGCTCGTCCCTAGGCTGTACAAACCAAACCAACCAGTTCTTCACTCACCAGGAGGCTGTGCTGTTCAGTCAGTACAGAGGTAATAGTAA